CCCGTCTTAAAACAACTCTGGGTAGCTTACAACCAGTGAGAAAATATAAAGCCAACAACAGTAAACTAAAACCAAAACAAACTAAAAATCAGAAAAACCTGGCACCACAGCCACACTTCCCTGGTGCACCCACATTCTCACCCAACCCTGACCTCATCCTAACCCAATGCCTGGGGGAAGATCCAGGTTTTAAGTATTCTCTGGAAGGATAGAACAGTAGGGGCCTGTTGGATGTCAGGGGGAGGGTGTTCCACAAAGCAGGGAAACAGAAAAGGCATGTTGTCAAGGACCCACAAGATGGCAATGTTTAAGGGAAGGGACCTACCCTATCTGCTCTGGTGGGACAGGAGATACCCTCAGGAAGAGGCAGTCCCTCAGATTACCTGGTCCTGTACCATGTTATGTGCTATTGTGATGTGTATTGTAGTTTGGTGGTGTTATACATTGGTCTGTTTTTACATCCTTTGGCTGATTTAATTCTTTAAAAAAAACTGTGCTGTTTTACTGCTAAAGTAAATCACCTACAAAAATTTGGTTTTGTTCCATTCTAAGCATTTCATGGAGAAATAAATTAAATAGGTGACTGGAAATATTGAGGATCAAGGTTTAATCCAAAGTTTTCCTTTATAAACTGAAAGCAAGGTTCTGTGCACTTTGAAAATGAAAGCATAAAAAAGATGCTTAAGAATTGGAATAGCATTCATTCCTGGATTCCTCAATCAGTAGCATCTTTTTTTTTTTCAGCCTCACACAGTAGCTTGAAAAAAATCAGGCCATTTTAATGAATAACAGAGAACTGGGGTTTTTGCAAAAGTACTGAAGCACTTTTTCAGAATGATTTTCTGATAAGAACAAATACTACACTTTATCTTACCAAAAGGCCAAAATTCATTTTCAAAGTATATGCAGCCATAACAGAAAGAGCATCCATTCAAAGAAGGAGTTTTCACTCATGGGAGGAGAAATAAACACATAGAAGGATTTCTTCCATGAATAAAATGTCATCCTCACTAAGTGTAAATTTCCTTCTACTCACAAAGAAAAAATGTTGGATCCAAGCCTCTACGTAATGACTTTCTGAATGAAGATTTCTAAAAGAATGTGTTTTGATGATTAGAGTTCTAGCCCCTGCCTAAAAAATAAGCAAAAAATTAAAATGCATGAGAACATACATTCAGGGAATAAAACACTCACCCTGGTTTTGGCATCGATCTGCCCTCCACGATCCAACAAGAGCTTCACCATGTTGGTGTTTCCCCTTTTGGAAGCCACATGCAGTGGGGTGATTCCATTCTACACCATGAAAAGAACAAACAAAAGCATGATGGGATTGGAGACGCTCAATGGGAATGGCTTTGCATTTTGACACAAAACAGTACAGAAGATAAACAAGGATGTATCACAGAATACATTAAACACCAAAAACAGCCCTATCTGGTTCATAAAGGCTGCCAGTCAAAACCTGACTATATGCATAGATTATGTCTACTAGAAACATAACAGCATTCATGTTGTGTCATGTTTAGCTTTTCATTGGAATAAACAGAAGGTTAATAAAGATAAACATGCTCTCAAGTTGAGTTCAGACCCTGGTGATGATATGAATAGATTCAGGTAGTTTTTCTAGGCAACACTGCAGAAGTGGATTGCCACTGCCTGTTTAGTTGGTTTCTCAATCTAGTCCCCAGCCCTGGGATTTCTTGATAGCTTCCCAATCAAGCCCTAAACAGGTCCAACCCTGTTTAGCCTTTTGCAAGACCATCTGAGGTCATTCAACATCATCTATCTTTATTACAGTCTAGGACTGGTGCAAGATAATTTAAAACAACCCAAGTGCTATCCAAAAATATAAAATAGCGTTGCAACAGTTTAATGTATAATGTGCTTCTGTTTGGATATGTCACAGCCTTATGACTAAGGCACACAACTTAATAATTAAGAAGGTGATTTCAGAATACCTGTCATTTAAAAAAAGACTTGATTAGGGTAGTCAGGCAATCTTTCCATTAGAGGCCGAAGTCACTGAGGGTACAGTTCTGTGTAGAACATACATCTTAGAAAAACATAACCAAGGATTTTGAGTGCTAGAAGCACAAGGGCATTGCCTAAGTGCTACAGAGATTCCTTTATATCTGCCATCCATAACTGCAGAAGGGAGGGCATTAAAACCTGCCCTGGAAAAAGCCCATCAGTAATGGGTATAAAATAACTTGAATAAATAATCTGCAGGTTATTAGATGCTGCCACCTTCTTAGTACTTCACCTATTTGAGGTTATTTGAGAGACTGCCTCTACTCATCCCATCAGGTCCAACAGGAGGGACATGTTGTAGGTCCCATCTACCAAGGAGCTTTGTCTGATGGGACCCAAGAGGAGAGCCTTTTCTGCTGTGGCACATGGCCTTTGGAACATAATTCCCCTGAGGTGAGATTAACCCTATTGATCTTCTGGAAGGTGCTTAAAACCCAGTTTTGTCATCAGGCCTGGGATCCCAGGAAGTAGGGAGCTCATTAAATGGTTATATTGTTTGTAAGTTTGGAATGCACTCTCCTATGTTTTTTTTTTATTACAGTTTTAACTGTTTTAATTGTATTTTAATGGTTGTTTTTACTTGCTTTGATTGTTTGGGTTTTTTAATTGTAATTGTGTGTAGCACCCAGAATCATAAGCATAAGATGGGCAGATACATAAATTTAATGATAAAATAATAATAATGATAATAATAATAATAATAATAATAATAATAATAATAATAATTTCTGAGAACTGGAAAGGGATGATAATTTTGCCTTTTAAGTGTATACTTAGATTGATTAAATGTGTAAAGAAATAACTAGTGTTTAGTATTAAGGTTTAGATTAACCTAGATTAAATGTAATAAAAGCAATGATGTATGTCCACATGTTTCTGTTGATTAATGCAGGTAAAACCCATGATTATCACATTTGACATAATTTTAAATATGGAGAGTTTAGATATTTGTGTGTTGTAATGTACTCACTTATATTTAAGACATCAAAAATCAAAACATCAAAGGTTTTGCTACAGATACACGCAGGCATACAAACAAACATGAAAGACAAAAATGACCTAGTGAGTCTCTATTCATAATCTATCAAGTACTTAACTACATAGACAAACATCAGCGCAGCCACAATGAAACCAATTAACATAACAAATATCAGCATTAAAATGTCTTAAGTAGGTCTGAAGATTTTGTTTAATTTCATATTCATATATATTGGGTAAGAATTTGGCATCTTGGTAGGAAATAGGAAAAGAAAAAGATTAAAACGTAGTTTAAATATATGGACAAAACCAATCCTAAAAGTTGTAGAAATTAAGCAGGGTAAAAACATTTGAGTTGACCCCATGCAACCTATGAGACAGCTAGTAATCAGATGATGAGTTATAAGATGTTAAAAACTAACAGCACAATCCTGTGCATACTGTATCTACTCCAAAGTTAATCCTACTGAGTCAAAGAGAACTTCTGTGTAAGAATATGTAAGATGCAGATTATATAGGGGGGTGTTGTTAAAAAAAAAAAAAAAGGCTTTATAAGCACAACTTGAAGAATTAGACTGAGGTTAGAAATGAGCACACATCTCCAACTTTATATAAATACTCATCCAGCTTGTACAAATATTTCTAAATTTATTTTCAGGTATTATTCTTTAAAGGCCAATGTCTAACATATTTTAAAAAATACAAAACAGTTTATAATACATGAAGAATAGTCAAAATATAAAAAAAGAAAATACAAAAGCCTCAGTCATTACTGAAATATAATTCAATAATCCCCAAGAGCTGCTGCAATAAGGAAGTTTTCATTCTTGCTGAAAAGTAAGTCAGATTGATGCCCTAATGAGGTACATTTGATAAGCATGAAAAGATTTATTCATAGAAATAAATCAAGAATAGGATTTTTTTCCCTCAAAACATAGCATTCTAGATAAAGATAAGCCTTAGTGGATTCAGACTTGTGCTGATCTAACACAAACCAATCACTGTATAGTTTAGAATGATAAGAGAACAAATAAAATTAGGAAGTGACGCCAACATGAGGATTAGGGTGATCCATATGAAGATCTATGTGGGAAAACAGGGTTAATAAAGCAAACTTTCCCAATCTACTGTCTTCAGATGTGTTAGATTGTAACTGACACTATTTCTAGGCAGCTAATGAAAATGGTTATAGTTGTGCTTTGGCATATCTGGAAAAGTTTAAGGAAGCTTTCATAAGACGTTCATAAGAATATGCGTGCCAAAGTCTGTTTCCATCTTCATGTGATAGCTATGTGGCTGGAACAAGCGATACCTTGATGATTCAGGGTGAGTGGTAGGTGAATTAAAATAAAATCTGTTGATATGAGCATGCCACAGAGTAATAGACATAAGGTTTTTGCTACCATACATTTTTTCTGGAATGCCCAATTCATAACCATTCTTAACTTAAATATTGACTATTTAAAAATGAAACAATATGCATATTATATTACTTTTAGATTCTTGATATTTTTTTGTCCACTTATAGTGGTACCCTGTAAAAATACAATGAATACATTACAGTAAACTACAATATATGAAAAATAACATTTCTGTGGGGGAAAATGAATAATCATTGCCTTTAAATAAATATTTAGAACAAATCTGTGAATGGGACCGATTTACTGTTTCTTTTCAAATATTTTTTCTTTCCTTTTCAATATGAATATTTAAAGAAAATTTACTTGACAATTCACTGTTATTTCTATGTGCAGAAGATGACAATACATACCCTTGCTGTGAAGTCTACAACAGCTCCTCGGTTGAGTAGAAGTGTCGCTACATTGACGTTTCCATAATGTGCTGCTATGTGCAAAGGTGTGAAGCCACTCTGCAAAAATAAACCAGTCCTAATCAGAATATCCAATTCTTTTTTCCATAAGACAATACTTAGCTAAAATTCTGAGGACTATAAACCGGAATTATTCTCCTAAATCTGGTCTACTCTAATTGTACAAGGATAAAAGGCTTTCTTATTTGTCCATTTCATTATTTATTCATTATTTATTCATTTTTTCTTAGTTCAAATGCAAGGAAACGCATTTTCTCTGTTTTCTGAGAAAAAACCTTTTAAATGTTTTTTTATACTTCTTAGCAGGTACTGTACCAAATGCTGCCATGCTACTTGTTGCCTCTCCATACAGTTATAAAGTGAGGGATGTGGCTGACAAGTTGGGGGCAGGGAGTGATAAATTACACATGTGTATGTTCCCCTATCTGTCTTCTATGACAGGGTTCCTCAACCTCAGCAACTTTAAGATGGGTGGACTTCAACTCCCAGAATTCCCCAGCCAGCCTCAGTTGCTGTGGTTGAGGAACCCTGTTCTATGGCAAATTTAACATTTAAATTTAACATTTCCATATATGTCTACAGAAAGCAATTCTGTGGAATTAAGGGGCAGCTTCTTTTTTAAAGTGCTTTCAACGTCCAATTGTCAACATTTTTACTATTTTTTCCTCAAGAAAAATAGAAGCCATGTGTTTCCTGAGCTGGGAATACTTTTAAATTGGAACAGAGTGCCACTGATTTCAGTATATTAAACTGCCCCAGAACTTGAAAACATGATAAATTATAAAGAGTGCATAGGGAGAGAAGGTCAGAAATTAACAAATGTTATTTGCCCACAAACAATCCAAACCAATTGTCCGGATTAATATTTTGGTATGGATTTGCATTGCTACAGAAATAAATTCATGTTACAGGCAATTGTTCTGCACTTAATAATTCCTCAGCAGGCCTACTATTTTTAGTTCCCTATTCTATTATTTAAAAACAAATACAAAAATCTAGGCCATCTCAAAGCCGAAAAGTAAAACAAAATAAAAACAGAAGAGACAGTATACCTTTCTGCCAATTGTAGCTACTTAAAAATGAAATGTGATACGCTCTGAACTGTATAGAACAAGGGGGGGAAATGCAACATTTATCAGTAAAGGGTTGGGAAGAGTAGGTTAACAAAACTGTTGTTTTTGGTACCTCAGTTGTTCTATTCACCATCATCTGTTGCAGCATGTTTTGGAAAAAAGAGGAAAGATATTACAGATTTGTAGAAAGACAGAGAACTCAACTTGTTCACTGAAATGAATTACAATCTTGTTACTGGAAAAAAAAAAACTGATAAACATGATTAATTTCCAATGTAAATGTATGGAATCCCACATTTCCATGGGCCACAATCCAAAACTTACTCAACAGCAACACTTCTTTAACAGTTGTTTTTCCCCTGGGAGATAATCAAAATTTCAGTCTAAATTTTGTATTTCAGAGTCTAAATTATAATATTAATTGGGTTATATTTTCAAAGACAGAAAGCATTGAAAAGCCACAGATAGTCAATGCAAGAAAAGAAATCTGAAGCATGAATTGTGCCTTTAAGTCCATGTCTTCTTGCAACTTCACTGTAAAAAAAAAGGGGGGGACTTTGCTAGATATATCAGATTCAGCATCCACAATAGCCTTTATAGTGCTATATGCTTATTCTACACATTAAGATATTTTATAAGTACACTACAAACCATAAAGGAATAAATATGTGAATCATAGAAAAAGCTGCACATGGTTGCACTTCCACTCTCAGTGAAAAAAGTGTTTATTTATCCTGCTTGTTGGATAAAGAAATCCTTGGAAGCATCCCATCTTTGATACCACCCCAATCCTGAAAAAAGAAACTATTTTTACCTTAGACTGAACGTCAGCATTATGATCATTCTGGAGGAGAAGTGCTGCTGATTTGGTGTCATCTTTTCTGGCCGCGATATGCAGCGCTGGCAGTCGCACTTTCCCCTTAGTGTCATTCTCCAGAAGGATAGCCACTGCCTGATTGTGTCCTTGCTGCAACGCAACTGCTAGTGGAGTGAAGCCATCCTGTTACAGTGGAAAGAAAAGAGATGCTGCATGAAACTAGTCAGTGGTGCTATCCAGATCTGACTTGGAACAAAAGCCTTGAGTTCCATTCAGTGGATTAGGCTCACTTTTGGCTACCAGATACATCAAGGTTGGCTTATCACTGAGGTAATATTACTATTTTAAACAGAGTGTTCCTTGTGAGACCATTCAGTCTAAGATTAAATAAAAGTTGTCTAAAAGTAGACAACTGAAAGGCAGAATCCATATGGCCCTTTTTGGCACCAAGGGCCCTCACACAAACTGCACCATATATCAATATGCAATATTTTTTTATATTCAGAGTGAGATATTCACTTGTGGAATCCCACATCAAAGCATTCTGTTCACTGTACTGAACTGCACCCTCAATTATTGACTTCTCCAGATATTAAACCTAATTTGAAAATAAAGTATTAGACATACTAAAATTGTATATTGTACCAGTCTTTCTATTTACCATTTAGGTGGAACAAATATATTTGATCACTGTAATTAAGAATATAATTTTAAATGTACAGAAGGTAGAGTTGTCAGGTTTCTTTACTTTAAAATACTGACAGTTCAGGAATGTTTCCTAGAAGGGCATATCATAGAATATAAGCAGAGAATATAATAAAACATGGTAGTGTTGAATTAGGCACCATAATAATGACTATGATTGGAATCCATGTGACACATAGATAGAGGCAGTAAGAAAATGCTGAAGCCAAAGTGCTTTATGAAACTTTTAATCTTTAAAATGATAAAGAAGAATGCTGATATTCTCCCATCTTCAGATGAATCTCTTTCCTCTGGAGACTGTGAACAGAAGATTGAAACAGGACCAGAGATCTAGGGGCCATGGCACTCACAAGGTGGGGTCAAAGATACAAACATGACAGAGTGGTGTCATGATGCAATCCCCACCCCTTTTGTATGTTTGTCAATACAATTACATAAGGAGTGTGACTTGCATTGCAATGCTGCTTTGACTACCTGTAACTTGCCTTTTTTTGATATACACACACCTCCCAGCAATTGCCACCATGTGCAAAGCCTTCCTTCTACTCACATTCAAAATTATAATGCAATATAGCGAAAGAAGAAGTGTTAGGACAACAAAAAGCTAATAATGAATTGTTGATTTGGAGTTATAAGCTTTCTTCCTAGTTGTTTAAAGTAGGAGAAGGTAGGAAGTGAAATGCTCCTTTCAAATCAAGAAACACTCAGTAATGCCTGTTAATAAAGTAGGTGGTTTTAGAACTACCAGAGAAAAGGTGTTATCCATTTCATCCTGTTTCACGTACTCACTTGGACTTAAAATAGAATAACACAGCTGCTATTCATTCCTAGCATAATATGATCACACTTTTAAAGTCATATCCTCACGAGAAATGAATCAATATACGTGGGGAGACAACCATGCAATATGTAATCATCATCGTCGTCATCAAAGAGAGAAATGTAGGCACCAGTGATTCATTCATTTGCACTGTTGCTTCTGTCCAGTTCCTTAGCAACCACACAATATTCCATATCCAGCAAAACTGCAATGGGAGCAGGGCCACTGTCCATCCCAGCAACAAAATCTGCAATGTAACATGACCTCAATGTATCCCAGCAGCAGAAAGGATTATTTTAGAAGCCACCGTCAAGTGCAATAGTATCCACCAAATGAAAAGATAGCAAAACAGCTGTTAACAAAGGCAACCTTGGCTCCTTTATTAAATACCATACTATCTTGAATACGCTGTAGTGGGTTTACTCCATACCAAGAAAGGTGACAAGTGAAGAAATTGGTAAGGGATTACTTCACATTACACAAATATTAAAGGTAGAAGATTGTTTTGTAAATAAATTTATTCATGGATGAACACTTCAGCAATGGGAAATGTTACAACCACACTGTAGTATCAAAAGAGTTGGGACAATATTTGGTTAGAAATTTTGAAGGTATGGATGTAGTGGAAGCAAGGATGGTGTGCAGGGGTAGAAATATATGGAGAGTTATAAACTAGATGTAGCTGTATTTTTCTTTATCATGATTTTAATTGCTCTGGCTTACAATTTTCTTTACTTTCCGTAACACTGCTTGCCCCGAAAGAGAACTGAATTGGTATGGATTTATGGTTTTCATATAATCAGGATGAAGTAGGAACCATGATTTTAAAGAAAAGGACAAGCAGAGGAGGAGGAGGAGGGAGATCTGAATACTGTACCTCAGTAGCAGTGCTCTGATTGGCTCCATTTTCCAGAAGATATTTTACTACTTCAATATGGTTCTCCTGCGCTGCCATATATAGAGGTGTGAAGCCGTTCTAGGGGAAAGTAAAGTAATATAGTAAAACATAAATATTAAAAACCAAACCAAATTAGACACAGAATAATGGGATTTGTCAAGCAAACTCAAGCAAAATCCAAAGGAAAAACAAACAACACATTTCACTGAACAACTCAGTTCTAAGAAATATCAGGCACTGACAAGGATCTTCTTTTGGCAAAATGACTTTTAAGCTTATACCTTTTTAAATATTTAATTTATTAAAGTAACAAATATCTTGTGAGCTCTATTAAATATGCATTAAGCATGAAAAATGAGATTGTAGTGATTCTGAAACTTTATGTAGTTTTGTAAAGCTTAATATACCCTTCAGATTCTTTCTGCAGCACTTAAGTTACTTTAGTATATACTGCAAGACATAGAATTTTTGAATGAATAATGTAAAAGTTGCAATATTTATGAAGAAAAGAAGACATCTATTACTTATTACTTATATTTAATTGAAGGCAACTCACTGTCCACCATAAAACAGTGACCTTAATCATGGCAGATTTATGGGCTGGAACACCTCAATTTATATTCCATGGCATTATAATATAAGTAAAGCCTTGTTAATTATAATAGGACCACAAAAGAGCTTTTACAACTGGATATCCTGATCAGGAGACAGATGTGAACAAAGGATTTAAGAGGAATGTAAGATTCAGATTTTCAAGGAAAGCTTTGCAAGAATTTCAAGTAATAAAATTTATCCTAACTGCCATCAGGTTTAATTCTTATAATGCCACAAATTACAAAATACAGTTCTGAGCAAGCTATTAACATAGCAATTGTTGCTTGCATTTTCTGCATATCTTTGAAAGTGACACTGAAGCATATAATTAATTAAAAATAGAAAATAAGTAATTTTCATTCCTTTTTGGTTAATTCATCCAAGAAGAAAACGTCAAAGCAATATATGCTATACACATTTTTATTGGTTTTGAGAGCATCTCATTAAGTTATATAGACACAGTACTTTGCACGTTATATTTAAAAATTATTCACTGTGTACAGAGCATATAACATAAGAATTCAGAACAGCTTAATAGATTTTGGTATTATGGTTTTTGAACAAGCAGCCTTGCTATTTTTGTTTCAGGATTATTGCACAGTTCTTCACTTGTGTTTTGAGGTCACCATGCATTGCATGGAAATGTATAACATTATGGTAATCAAAATGCATCATTAAACAAATCCTGTTTGTCATGCCATTTCATTTTTAGCTACCATATGAGCTCTATTAAAAAATCATCTACCAGTCACAAAATGTGTGATATGAAGTGAATCTCCCTTTAATGCACCATAAAAAGACACAGACTTACACAGACATTCATTAAATTTTTAATATATAAAATGTCAATTAAAAACACTCATACAAAGAAAATGTATTTGCCAACCAGACTGGAGTTCAAATAGTTTCAAATATGAGAACACAGCAAGCCCAGGATGTACTCAAACATTTTACTACCAAATCCTGAGCAGCAACCATTAAGTTCAAAGTACATAGAACCAAACTAACCAAATAATTTCATAAATAACATCTATTCCACTCCTTGGAGTAATATTTTGTTCAGAAGCTAATCTCAATTTTAAAATATCATGAATTCTGCACATTTGT